AGAGGAGCCGAGACGCAACACCCCCCCACCCCCCTACCCCCCAACACCCCCGCCCGAAGCCTCAGTGACGCAATGGAAGCAGAAGCGATGACGAAAGCGGCGCCCAGGAGATGAAGCCCGCCCCTTCGAGTCAGCTGGGAGATTAGCATGAATAGTGAACGTTCGATAGTGAGAGTATGAGGGGATACATGAGGGCGTTCGTGTTGCCTCGTTCGTCGCTGGGTGAAGAAGAGTGAGTGAGTGAGGATTCCCCTCTCCCCCCTCCTCGTCTCCCCTTTCCCCTCCTCCTCCTCTTCCCCCTCGCCTCACTTGTCCCTGATTCGGCGTCGGTGAGGGTCGTGGTTAGATCCTCTCCCCCTCTTTTTCATTCCCTCTTTTTTTCCCCAATTAGATCTACTCCTTTTCCTACTGTTCCCCTTCCTCTTCCTCTTCCTCTCCCCCCCTCCCCCCCGCCCATGTGAGATCGCCGCCGCCGCTGGTGCGATGGCGCGGGCCGCCCACCAGCTCTGCCAGCCGGCCCGCCCATCTCGCGCGTGATGGTAAGTCTAACGAGCGTGGGCGTGGGCACTCCGACGGCGTCCGCCCACCACCTGCTGCTCTTCCTGAACGCGTCCCAGGCCGCCGCCCACCTGCTGCAGCTCCCCGAGGCCACCCCCACGCCCGCAGCGGCCGCCCACGCCCCGATGGTCGCCCATGACCCCGCCGTGACGCTAGCGGACCCCACCAACGCGACGCGGGCGGGCGGGCAGCTGGTGGAGGCGGGGCAGAACGGGGCCGCCCACGGCGTGGTGGCCAGCGTGCTGCTGGTGCTGGTGCTCAACCTGATCATCGTGGGCACCGTGGTGGGCAACCTGCTGGTGTGCGTGGCCGTGTGCCTGGTGCGCAAGCTGCGCCGCCCCTACAACTACCTGCTGGTGAGCCTGGCCGTGTCCGACCTGTGCGTGGCGCTGCTGGTGATGCCCATGGCCATGCTGCACGAGGTGCTGGGCAAGTGGCAGTTCGGGCGCCTGGCGTGCGACGTGTGGGTGTCCTTCGACGTGCTCTCCTGCACCGCCAGCATCCTCAACCTGTGCATGATCAGCGTGGACCGCTACCTGGCTATCACCAAGCCCCTGGAGTACGGCGTCAAGCGCACGCCGCGCCGCATGGTGGCCTACATCGCCTTTGTGTGGCTGGGCGCCGCCTTCGTCAGCGTGCCGCCCGTGCTCATCCTGGGCAACGAGCACGTGGAGGGCCAGAGCTGCGTCGTCTGCCAGAACTTCTGGTACCAGATCTACGCCACCTTCGGATCCTTCTACATCCCACTCACCGTCATGGTCATCGTCTACTACAAGATCTTTTGCGCCGCCAAGAGGATCGTCAACGAGGAGCGGAAGGCGCAGGCGCACCTCCGCTCCGTCGAGGAGGCCGAGGCGGACGCGCGCCCGCCGCAGGACACGCGCTCCTACACGCAGCTCAGGCCCTTCTCCAGGTAGGTGGGGCGGGGGCACGCGGGGGGAGGGGGGGCTTGCAGTGCAACACGAGGGCGCCAGTGCATGCGCACCCGCACGCACACACACACACACACACACACACACACACACACACACACACACACACACACACACACACACACACAACACACACACACACACACACACACAACACACACACACACACACACACACACACAACACACACACACACACACACACACAACACACACACACACACACACAACACACACACACACACACACACACACACACACACACACAACACACACACACACACATACACAACACACACACATACACACACACACTCACCCACTCACACATATATTCATATCCACCCATCCATCTCTCACTATCAAAATTTTCCGCCATCAAAATCCTAATTTCTTCCTCCCTCCCTTTACGCCTCCATCACCCCCCCCCTCCCCCCCCATTTTCCTCCTCATCTTTAATAGGTCATCAACCTGTCTTAAAACACCAATAAAGCCTCGTAAAACCCGCCATGAAAAACGAACAAAAAAACACAAACATTGCGCATAAACTTTTAAGTGATAATTTCCGGAAAATCATTTACGTGACGAACTAGGAGGGAAAAGGGGGAAAGAAGAGAGGGAAAGAGGAGAGGGGAGAGAGTGGAGGGGGAGAGGGAAAGAGGGGAAAAGGGAAAGGAATGGAGAGTGAGAAAAGGGAGAGGGAAAGAGGGGAAAGGGGAAAGGGATGGTGAGTGAGAAAAGGGAGAGGGAAAGGGAAAAGGGGGAAAGAGGAGAGGGAGAAGGGAGAGAATGGAGGGGGAGAGGGGAAAGGGAAGGGATGGAGAGTGAGAGAAGGGAGAGGGAGAGGGGGAGAGGGAAAGAGGGGAAAAGGGAAAGGGGTGGAGAGTGAGAAAAGGGAGAGGGAAAGGGAAAAGGGGGGAAGAGGAGAGGGAGAGGGGAGAGAATGGAGGGGGAGAGGGGAAAGGGGAAAGGGATGGAGAGTGAGAAAAGGGAGAGGGAGAGGGGAGAGGGAAAGAGGGGAAAAGGGAAAGGGATTGGTGGTGGGAAAGGGGAGAGGGAGAGGGAGAGGGGAGAGAATGGAGGGGGAGAGGGAAAGAGGGGAAAGGGGAAAGGGAAAGAGGGGAGAAGGGAAAGGGATGGGTGGTGAGAAAGGGGAGAGGGAAAGAGGGAAAAGGGGAAAGGGATGGTGAGTGAGAAAAAGGAGATGGAAAGGGAAAAGGGAAAGAGGAGAGGGAAAGGGAGAGGGGAGAGAATGGAGGGGAGAGGAAAAGAGGGGAAAAGGGAAAGGGATGGGCGGTGAGAAAAGGGAGAGGGAAAGGGGTGAGGGAAAGGGAGAGGGGAGAGAATGGAGGGGGAGAGGGAAAGAGGGGAAAGGGGAGAGGGAAAGAGGGGAGAAGGGAAAGGGATGGGTGGTGAGAAAGGGGAGAGGGAAGGAGGGGAGAAGGGAAAGGGATGGAGAGTGAGAAAAGGGAGAGGGAAAAGGAAAAGAGAAAGAGGGGAAAAGGGAAAGGGATTGGTGGTGAGAAAGGGGAGCCGGAGAGGGAGAGGGGAAAGAATGGAGGGGGAGAGGGAGAGAATGGAGAGGAAGATGGAAAGAAGAAAGGGAAAGGGAGAGAGGTAAAAGATGAAAGGGGGATAAGGAAAGAAAGGAGAAGGAAAAAAGAAAATGGAAGGGGGAGAGAAAGGGGAGAGGGGAGAAGAAAGGAAGGGGAAAAGGAGGTCAAAAGAGAGAACTAAAATGAAGGGAAGGGGGAAGGGAGAAGGGAGATAAGGTAAGGACTAAATGGAGAGTGAAGATAATGGATGGGGAGAAGAAGAGGTAAGGGGAGAGGAGAAGAGAGTAAGGGGAAAGGGAAGGGAGACGGAATGGAAGGAAAAAGGGAGGAGGGAAGGATAAAGGGAAGAAAAGCGGGGGAAAGTGAGATGGGGGAAGAAGGGAGGAGGCAGGGAAAGGAAGAGGAAAAAGAGTCGAGAAAGGATGAGGGAAAATGTAACAGAAGAAAGACGAGGGAAAGGGAGGGAGAGAAGGGAGGGAAAGAGAAGGAATGAAAGAAAAGAAAAGATAAGAGGGATAGGAGGAAGATGAAGAAGAGATAAGGGGGAAGAAAGTGGCTGAGGAAAGGAAGAGACAAGGGGGGGGGGAGAAAGTGGAGGAAGAACGGAAGAGAGAGGTAAGAGAAGAGAGGAAAAGACAAGGAGATAGGAAAGATAGGAGTAAGGATAACACGAGAGATAATTGGGGGTATAAATGGAAAAGGAAGAGAAGAAAAGGATAGAAGAAGGACATAGGAAAGAAAAGGAAATAAAGGAGGAATAATGAAGGGAAGGAGAAGGGAATTAAGCGATGAAAGGAAAGGAATAAGAGGGAAAGAACAGACGGGAAGGAAGGGAGGAGTGAGGATGTGAATATTGAAAGAAAGAGAAAGGAAAAGAAAGGAAAGAGAAAGGGGAAAGTTGAATAATTCTATTCCTTTATTTGTTTTGTTCTTGTTGTTGTTGTTGTCATTTTGTCAGTCTCTATATTTTTATGTACAGATTTAAGGTATTAGTATTTTACATTAAATGTATTCTTACTGATCGTTTTATTGTCATTAAGAATATTGCCGTGGCTATTATCATCATTGTTGTCATTATAATCATTATTGTCATCATCAACATTATTTTAATTACTGATATTACCTTTTGGTTGTATTTATTATCTTTTCTCATTTATCATTATTGTCATCATTATCATTATCATCTGTGTTCATTATCATGCCCGTCACTATCACAATTTTATTAATAACCTCTCTAATTATTATCATAACTACCGTGTCTGTCATTAACATTATCCGTCTTGTTATAATATTAAGGAATTTTATTGTGACAATTTCCGCTTCATTAAAAAAAAATAATGATTCAATGCCCCTGTTAATGTTTCCCGTGTCCCTAATTAAACGAGCAATTTAATTCAGTAATCATAATGCTTTCAAAGCCACGAACAATTTAATTCAATCCGATAATAACTGCTATGTTTTCATTTTAAACGTTTCGGGTATTAACGTTTCACGAAGCATCTAAATCTGCGTTTCCCTTTTCTGATTTATATGCCAGGCTTTCTCTCGTTATTCATTGGATTAATTGTTTCGGAGTTAATGTTGGCCCAGTGTGTTTGTTTTCATATGCGTATGTGTATATTCACATACACTCACACAAACACACACACATACACATACACACACCACACACATCCTTCTTCTTTTTCTTTTTCTTTCTTCTTCTTCTTTTTCTTCTTCTTCTCCTCCTCCTCCTCCTCCTCCTCCTCCTCCTCCTCCTCCTCCTCCTCCTCCTCTTCCTCCTCTTCCTCCTCTTCCTCTTCCTCCTCCTCCTCCTCCTCTTCCTCCTTTTCCTCCTCTTCCTCCTCTTCCTCCTCTTCCTCCTCCTCTTCCTCCTCTTCCTCCTCCTCCTCTTCCTCCTCTTCCACCTCCTCCTCCTCCTCCTCCCTCTTCTTCTGAATCTTCTCCAAAGGCTGTTCCTCCTTCCTCTTAACTCGACAACAATTTTTTTTTTCTTTTTTAATATCCTCCCATAGTTCCTACTTTCTGTTACGCCCCATATATTTTTCTTTTCTTTTTTCAAAAACAAAAAAACAACACAAAAAAATAAAGTCCTTAAGTATTTCCAAGCGACCCCCCTTTTGAAAAAATGTTGTCAGGCTTTTTGTGCTCAAAACAAAAAAAATGTTGTCAGGTTTTCGGGGCCATTAGCTTCCCAACAACCGCCTCAATAGTTGCTTTGGGTACTTCGAAGTCTGTTGTTGTCATCCCGTTTTCTTTCACTGTGAGTTTAAGGGGAGATTGGTCTAATTTTTTTTTTTAGCTTATTAGGAAGTGGGTCATTTTTTTTTTCTTTTCTTTTTTTTTTTTTCTTTTTTTTTTTTTTTTGGTTACTTGAATATTTTCTGGGTTGTTGTATTTTCTGATTGTGGTTCTTTCTTTATTTATTTATTTATTTATTTATTGGTGTTTATTTCTTTATTTTTTTCTTTTCTTTTCTCTTCTCTCTCCGGTCTCTCTGTTTCTTTTTCTGTCTGTCTCTCTGTCTTTCTGTCTATCTGTCTGTTTTTGTCTCTTTCTGTCTGTCTGTCTGTCTCTCTGTCTGTTTATCTCTCTGTCTGTCTGTCTCTCTGTCTGGCTCCCTTTCTCTCTCTCTCTCTCTCTCTCTCTCTCTCTCTCTCTCCTCTCATCAT